TTTTCATTTTTTTAAAAGGACATATTTTTGGCTGAAAATTACTTCTTTCAATTCAATTTTAAAATTCAGGTAAAATATGGAGGATACTTGAAATTTCTTTTGAACATCTTTTGTGCTATCAGGACATAAAACATTCAGGATACCACTTAATATGTAAAATTACTTAAAAGATATAGTAAAACCTCTGGTTTCTTGGTGGTGATAGGATCAAAGTATCAAAAAATTGAAGAAATTAATTTTGGTTTATTTCTTCTGTTATCCCTATGTAGCCATTGAATATTTCGTGTTATAAGTCGCTATTATCAATTTCTTATGAATCCAGGTAACTTGGAACAATATTGGCCCCAGAAAACTTTGAGAATGCTAGTAATCCATAAGATTGGACATACATTCTCTTTTTATTCTTTTATTTATTTTTATTAATTATAATTATACACAATAATGTGCATGTATTTTCTTTTAAATAAAAACTTTGTAGGAATTTTTTAATCATTTCAACACTGTACCTACTGACTTACGGCCATACAAGAGATTTACTATGAGGGCAAAACACAGAAGAACACTCAAGTGAATGGAATCTTGCCAGAGTTCTCTGGAATCTCCGGTATGTCCACATCTTTCCCAAACAGTTACCTTAGGTAACTTTTTCCAGAAACATTGAGGGATCCCTTAGAATTTTCAGCACTCTGTAGAACATATGATACATACCTTCGTCATCTCAGGCTGCTATAAGAAAATATCATAGACTGAGTGGCTTAACAACAGGCATTCATTTCTCAATGTTCTGATCTTGAATTTATTTCTTCTATCTAGCTGAAGTTTTGTATCATTTGATCAATAGCTTCCCAATCTTTTTTTTGTCCCTAGTTTTTGCTATTCTTAAATTTGAGAGCAAAGTAGACAAAAATGTGCTGTGACTTAACTCATACCCTAGATGTGTTAAGAAAACAAATTTTAATATTCAATTTAAATTTAAATACCTCCAATTTCACCTCTTAATCCTCTACCGAGATCAGACTGCTGATAGGTGCAGGTTCAGGTGAGGGCCTCTTTTCTATCCTTCCTGGCTTGTAAACAGCCACCTTCTGGCTGCATGCTCTCATGGCCTTTCTTTGACGTATATGGAGACAGAGAGAAAAATCTCTCACTCTCCTTCTTCTTTAAGGACTCTGATCCCATTTTGAAGGCCGCATTCTCATGATGATAAAAAGGAATTGGACAAGTAAATTTCCAAACACCAGAGACTAGATCCACTGTGCTACGAATGAGGGTTCCTGTTTGGGGTAATCTGACCATGTACTAATCAATCCCTAATCTTTCTTTTTTATTACACAATTTTTCATAAAAACTTATGCATAATATAAAAGCTGCCATCAGGCAGCATAGTGGAACTATTTATTTTAATATGAAAATGAATATACCTTATTATTATAAATGAATCTTTAGTGTCTTGGCAATTTATTATACTATACTGGGTATTTGGCATGATACATAAAATTTTGATCTAGAATGTAAACAAGTCATTTGTTCAATAAGGGATTAAAAAAAACAGTGAACAAAATTCCAATCTGACAGTGATCTCAACAAGTGAATAGACAATCACAGTACAGTTGGCTAAGTGTTTTGAAAAGGGCAGATGTAGGGAGCTATGGATACATCCAGGGCACCTGACCCTGTCTAAAGGTTTTAGGGAATCCTTCTTGGTGGAAGTAGAAATGTTAGTTATGGAAAGAAATGGAGATAGAGAGAGATGCCTTGAACATCTCTTTGGTGTTTAAAGAGAAGGTTAGAATATTCTAAGCAAAGAAAAAAAAGATAAGGAAAAGTGAATGGAGAAAATTCCAGATGCTAAAAGAAGAACACAGGGTTGCATTTGCCAGTAGCACAGCCTGGGTAAGAAGAGGGTTAAGAGGTGAACTTGGAGGTAGCCATTTTAAATTGTATATTAAAATTTGTTTTCTTAACACATCTAGGGTATGAGGTGAGTCACACAGTACAGTTTGTGTCTTTTTAAAAAGTACTACTTTGCTCTCAAATTTAAGAACACCAAAAACTAGGGGCAAAAAAAGATTGGGAAGCTGTTGACCAAATGATACAAAACTTCAGCTAGATAGGAGAAATAAATTCAAGAAATATATTTTACATCATGGTGACTATAAGAAAGATAAATTTCATATTTCATACCATAAATATATACAATTTTGTCAATTAAAAATAAGTAGCTACATACATAACTTTTTTTAAAAAAAAGAGAATGATTTTATTTATCTTCTATCAGATATTTGTCCATCAAAATGTGCTTAGTTTTCCCAAATAATAATCTCAATGGTAGCTTGAAAGCTTGGGGTGCTGTTCTCTAACTTGTTTTTGTTGAATTTAACCCAATTTCATCAACATGTTGGAAAAACTGACCAATCAGCTATGGTCACTTCCTATGTCTGAAATTTAGATGAAATATTTGAGAATTTTTTAAAATATCATCAGTTGGTGCAAAAAAAAAAAAATCCGTTTGTTGTCTTTTATGTTCCAGGCATGGTTCTAACATCAGAGAAACAGCAGGAGACAATAAGATGAAAATCATGGAGCTTACTTTCTAGAAAGACAGAAACCAAACCAATAAAAACAAAGAGTGCAGAGTAAATGAGTAAAATGTAGAACACATTTTGGCAAACACCACCTGAACTAGTGATCAAGGTTAATGTCAGCAGTTAAGGTTAAGGTCTTAAGTATCACTTTGATGGGACAGGCCATTTCACCTCTGTGTCAAGCATTCCCAGATCCAGAACCACCATCTAATAATAAGAAAATACACAAATCCACATTGGGGAAGGGTGCTCTACAAAATATTTAATATCCCTCAAATCTTTCAAAATCATGATAAAGAAAGACTGAGAATCCCAAATCATAGGGAACTAAGGAAACAACTACTGAATGCAATATGGCACCTGGGATGGGACTCTGGCACCTAAACAGAACATTAATTTAAAAATGAAATACAAATAAAGACTGAGGTCTAATTCATAGTACCATAGCAGTACTGGTTTATCAGCTTTGATGAACATATCATGGTAATGCAGTATGATAACATTAGGGTAACTGAGGCTGGATAGGAGGTATAGGATAATCCTCTGTTCTATCTTACAGCCTTTCTATAAATTTAAAAATCATCCACAAAGGAAAAAGCCTATTAAAATAGTCATAAAACATAACATTAAAATATGTTAAATAGAGATAATCATAACAAAAATGTGTATGACCTTTAGGAGAAAAAAATAAAATTATATCAGACAACATTAAAGAATACCTAACTAAATAGAGAAAAATGTGACTTCATGCATAAGAACTTTCACAGTAATAAGAATGTCAATTCTCCCTAAATTAATATAGTTTTAAAAAATTTATTTTATTTTTACTTATTTGTTTTTTGGTACTGGGCTTCACACTTGCTAGGCAAGTGCTCTACCACTGAGCTTTATTCTCACTCTCTAAATTAGTCTATAAATTCAACGTAATTTCAATCAAAATGCCAACATGAATCTCACGGATCTCAAGAAACTGATTCTGAAATATAGACATGAAACAGCAGAGGAACAAGAAAAATCAGTTGCAATATCAAAGAAGAAAAGAGTTCCATAAGGCTGTGATAATTTACTCAGTTTGGTATTTTTACAAATGTCAGCAAATTAAATCACTGGAACATGATAAAAAGCATAAAAGAAAATATGGATGTGTATAAATGTCTGCATGTTCATATAGATATATATTTATGCATATTGTGTACTTATACCCACACAGACACACACACACACACACACACACACACACACACGCGCACACACACGCACATATATGGAAAAAGGAGAGAATGTTCAATTTGCTAAAAAAGAGATGAATAAATAGAGCAGTATGACGTGAGGAAGCAAGCTAAGGCTGAGATTTTAGATAGCAAGGCCAGGGGAGGCATTCCGAGAAGGTGACTTTGGAGTAGAGACACTAGGGAGGGAGGGAGCCACACAGCTATCTGAGGAAGAGCGCTGAGGCAGAAAGAACAGCAAGTACAAAGAGTCCCTGAGGCAAGACTGGCCTCCTGCATTTGAGGTACAGCAAGGAGACCTGAGGCTGGAGTAAAGTGAAAAAGGAAGAGAGACTGCAAAAGACTCCGAGAGGTAGTTGGGGAAACAGGCCATGAGAGGTCTTGGGTCATACCCTACAGAGGGGAACGCTGGAAGGCCTTGAGGAAAAGACATCATCTACCAGTATTTTTTTCTGGCTGCCGTTTTCAGAACTGACTAGAGGAAGGAGCAGGTATTACCTTGGTCCAAGGTAGCAGGGGTAATGAGAAAGATTGAATTCTGACTGTATTTCTACAGTAGAGCTGACTGAATTAGGGGACAGACCAGAAGTAGGAAAGAGGAGAGGTTGACTCCTAGAGTTTTGGCCTGAGCAATGGAAGAATAGAGTTGCTGGTAATGAAGAGATGGAAGAATACTGGAGCAGCAGGTTTAGTGGGAAGCTGGGAACTTGCGTCTGCACTCACGGGGTAAGCCGAGGAGAATGCCTGCTACACATCCATGTGGAAATGTTGACAGGCAGTTGGATGAATGCATCCGTATTTCACCAAGATTCTTGATGAGTTTGGGAATCAAGTCAGTGAATAAGTGGCATTTAAAGCCATAAAATTAGATAGGATCACTTAGGGTGATTATAAACATTAATGTGAAAAAATGACCAACTGGGGATCTTGTTTAAGCTCAGATTCTGAATCAATAGATCTGGGATGGAGCATTTCTCATAATTTACCAGGTGAAGCTAATGTTGCTGGACATCAGGGCTGAGTGTAGGAGGGACATAAGGGGTGAAGAAAAGAGATACGTAAGTCCTAAAATTCCCCCACTGTTCAGAGGTAGGGGATTATAAAAGAAAACTGAAGAAAAATAGCTATAGGCAAACAAAAAACCAGGTAAAACCATGTTTTCCTGGAAAAAGGAGAAAGTAGTTACTTTGTAAATGCTTCTGATAGGTCACATAAATGTAGGAGTTTCCGAGGTTTAGTCTGTTGTTAGCCAACTCCTTTTCTCTGGGCTTGAGTTGAGGCAGAACATTATGGCAGAAGGGTATGGCCAAAGAAAGCTTCTTAGCTCACGGCATCTAGAAGCAGAAAGTGAGAGTCAGAGAGAGGTTGGTGGGGAGGGGGGTTGTAGGGAGGGAAGGGACAAAATATAGCCCAAGGCCTTACCCTAAAGACCTATTTCCTCTAACCTTTCCCCACCTGCAGACAGTTACCACACAGTAGTTCATTCAAATTATTAATGCATCAAATAGATTATCCACTGATGAGGTTACAGCTCTCACAATGATTAATTTCATCTCCAAACCTTCCTGCATTGCCTAATACATGAGCTTTTAAGGGGATACCTCATATCCAAACCATAACGGATGACTTAAACAAGAATAGCTTCAGGGGCCTGACAGGGCCTACTCCTAATTGGAATGAGTTCAAGAGAGAAGGGAAGAAGAGAAACTATAGACTGCTGAGACAGTCAATTTTTTCAAGGAGGTTTGCCTTAAAGGGAATGACAAAAAATAGAGATGTAACTGAAGAAAAAAAGAAAGTCAAAATATGATCATTGAAGGTGGGAATAAAAAAATCAAAATACATAAATGCCCAAGGGAGTGGTCAATAGAATGAGAGACGTCAATGATGCACAGAGAAGGGAGACTGCTGGGGCTGTGTGTGGGTGGGGTGGAACAGTGGTCCACTTTATGCTTTGAATGTAGCCTGTCCTGCTCTGCCACTGTGTTTCTTTCTCCTCCTCTCTCCCTGCTGCTTCCTAATCTTTTCCCCTCCCTAGTCTCAAGGAAAACAGGATTACCTTTCTTCCCCATCCTAGGCAGATTAATCTCTCCTTGAGCACACACCCACATGAATGAATTAATCCAGACTTTGGGGATGGCACCAGAAGGACTTGGAACTATCTCCCAAGATAAAGAGTGAATCACAGCTTCAACAGATAACACGAGGAATGCAGCCTTTGAATCACCTCTTGAAAAGCCTCCTGTTCTTGCTGATGGGCAGAATCATAGCCTTTGGGACAGGAGTCCCCTGTGTTTCTCCTTTGCTAGCAAAGCAATAAACATTCTTTTTCCTTTTACTCAAAACTGTATCCTCAAAATTGTTATCAGATTGGCATCAGAGACAATGAGCTTTCAGCAACAAGGATGGGACTAATACTTGAGTGGGGAGGTTGAATTTTTCCGAGGGCATAGCAGTCTATCCTTGGTTACAGGAGATAATGTAGAATACATGGGCCTCCAGGATATGTAGGTGAAGAAGCAAGGATGAATAATGGGAACCATCCCCTCTAATTGCTTCTTCTTTTTCTTATATTATTCATATTTTTCTTATTTATTATATTATAGACACAGGATTGACAGCTAAGAGAAAAAATAGGGGAGGTTTGCAGCTACAGAATAACTACGAACTATTCACCTTAAAAAGTGGGAGGATGCCTGAATAGGAGAAATACAGTATGGTTGCTGGCCAGTGTTAAGTGTCCACTTGAGATTAATTTGAAGTGAGGCCAGTAAGCTTGGCAGTTTTTCTTCTCTAGCCACATTCATCCCTGTAGGTCAAAACACAGAGCAGGCAGAGAGTTGGATTAACAGACTTGTGGTTTAGCTACAAAAAAAATCAATGAGTCAATGACCATGCTAGACACTAGCATCACAACAATAATAACAACGACAGAACTATTAAGGTATGCCAACACCATTCCAAATTTTCTCCTCTCACTTATCTCCCCAAACACCTACATCAGAGATTGAATACTATAACAATCACCATTCTTTCGATTAAGAAACTGAAGCTAAAGAAAGTAAATAAATTGTCTAAACTGTACATCTAACAATAAGAATACTAGAGTTGGACCCAGTGCTCTTGATTTTCTCAGAGTCTAAGGAAGGCCCAGTGGAAAATGTAGTCAGTTTTGAATAAAACATGCAAATCGCAGGCGTATGCTGGGAGGCCCAGGGAAGCTGAGGAGAGTCACTTTTGTTCAAAAGGACTAAAAGTATAAATTAACATTTGGAACAAAAACAGGTAGATACGATGATTCAAATGAAAGGGCACATTCTCATATTTGTGAATATATTATTTGTGCTCTAGTTAAATAGCTATAACTCCAACTATGACAGGAATGACAATGATCCCTCAATGTGGGAATGACCGAGAACGACCACGCACTCCATGCAGACCTCTCACAAACTCTCTCCTTAGAGATGTTTTCGGGGACAAAAAAATCTCAGGACTTTATGTGCCTTTATTTTAATATGACCCACATAACTTTGGATACCAAGACCCATAACGGACAACATATGTGAAAGGAGATTCTCATGCTAGGTTGATTTTAGATATTCCTAATGTAAAAGATTGGAGGGTATTTTCTTGACCCTCTCTTGTTCTGTTATGATTTGAAGAGGTTTTTATGAAAAGAAAATCCAGCTGCTGATTTGTGAAGCCTCCTTTGGAAAAATGGTGACTAACTTCTAGCACAAGTAACTGGAGAGGAATCTCTATGCTCTATTTAGACCTATGTGCCAGGCTGGACTGGTCAGTTCTCAAATATAATCTCATTTAGTCTCTACACCAGCCCACTGAAGTGGCTTAGGGGCTTGAGTATATAATCGAAGGACTCTGCTAGGAAGAGACAGAGCTGGGATTCCAACATGCCCCTCAAGGAACAAAGACCCCACCTGTCAGCAGATAACTGTGCCTTGATTAGCTCCTGTGTATATGAACACATAAGAGTTGAATGGTATCTCCTTTCAGAGTTCCAAAAATGATCCAACTTTTTCAACACAATCCAAAAATATGCTTCCACCCTTTTCACTTTTTCTTCCCTAAATCAGAAAATAAAACATTATTAGGTGAGTTTTCTCCTAAGCATTTTGTGGGTTAGAAATGAGGCCAAGAATAATAGTAACGGATTCTTCCTGTACTTGCTAGACGATCTCTACAAACAGAAAAGTCAACTCCTCATGTTGCCAGGCAGTGTGAAATTGCTAGATGAGGCTCATAATTTTTAAAAGATAAAGATTATTCTCTGGACAGCAGAGAAGTTGATAAATTAAATTAATAAATACTATTAGGTATTGGGGGCTGCTCCATCCACATAATTAAGGAAACCTTAAATCTAGTTCTCTATATTTCTCACATAATGCACAATGCTTCATGAATGTTTTTATGAGACTAGTTTCCATTCTAGGGACGCTTCTTCAGATAGACAGAAATGTAATAGCCCATAGAGAGTTAGGACAACACACCTAGAGTACCACACAGTTATGAGAATTTATGCCTCTCTTGAAAAAAGGAAAGAAGGCCATGGTGCCATAAATAACGTGAAATATGTCCTAAAGACCAAAGAAACCCCCTACGTTTCTCTCCTGTGTTAGAAACAGCTTTTCCTGGAGCAGGCCTTGTACATTCCACAGATGCACACATCCCAGTTCTTCTGGGGCTACTCACTGGTAAAGGCAGTTCCTGTCGCCCTTAGCCCCTACTAGCAGCAACTGGGTTCTCAACAAGTTCGGGTACACCTGAGTCAAGCCTTAAGGCACTGTGCAGCTGCCAAGAACATCCAGTCTCCACAGTGGGGAAAACACATCTATTAACATAACAAGATTAACGCAGAGGACAGGTGAGGTAACCTGTGCCTCTGTGCCAACCTGGCAGCCCAGGCTGGAGCTGCTTGGTAGTTTCAGTATTTTCCAGCCACCAAAGGCTGAGGTCCTCAGTGGGTCCATTCAGAAAGAATACTAAGATTAGAGGGAAAGGTTGTCAGTTCCCCAAATCTTCAGAGGAATGGAGAACTAAAGTCATACAGTACTAATAGAGGCCTTTTGGAAGTCATCAGAGAGCAGAATAAACAAACAGGTAGGCCAGTCTGGATTGTCCTCTTGCTGGTGTGTTTCAGTGTAATTGTCGAAAAAAAAAAAAAAGACCATCTTCCACACATTGAAAAATTAAAGTTTCAACCCCCTTCCCGCCCCCATGAACTTGGGCTTTGAAATTCACGCAGTGACCAGCTTGCCATTTAGTTTGAGAATCCTCCCTCCTGGGCTCTTCTCTCTGGCTGAGAGACCTCCATTAGAGTCTTTCAAAGAGAAAGGCTCTCATGACACTCAAACTCCTGGCTTTTAGATAATCCCTCAGTCTGATCCTCCCTGGCAAGTGCAAGTGACTGAACTTGCTAACTCATTTTGTCTCTGCTATAGGACAGCTTTCTCACAAAAGTATAGCAAAGACTTGGGCACACAGGTTAGAATTCCATCATTTTATTACTGAGGAGAACGGAAACTCTTTTGAAATGGTGCTTTGCATCTGAGAAAGGTGACAAATAGAATGTGGGGAGCTGGTGATGGGGACGACCTCTGAAAAACAGACAAGTGATTCCATTAAAGAAACTGGGGCATAATCCCCAAAAGACATCACCTTCAGAAATGGGATTGAGCAGCTGTAATTTAGCAAGAGTATTGCTAAAGTAATTCCAAGGTTACTCAGCAGCTTATTACCCTTTTTTTGGAATTTCCCTTGATAAGATATTTCATTAATGATCTGCAGGTGCTCGTCTTCCTAAATCTGAGAAGTTTGGAAACTAGTATCACAACCAGAGAGAGTAGAATCATTTTCTCTACTTGACCTCTGAGAAATGATTCTGTAAACACCACCATTCCATTTAGATACTCTGTCCAGTTTGAGTCTTTGACTTCAAGTCACAAAGATCCACTGAAAGAGTTCAAATAGAGGCAGGAAGGAGGAGGAGAAGAAGGATTATTTAAGATATAGATCTCCCACAAAACCCGTAGAGTCACATGCAAACTGGGATCCCTGAGGGTCCAGGAGCGGGGTTGACTAGCTGCCCTTCCCCCTGTACCCCTGTGTCTCCTGTCTTCACCACTCATGTCCATTTTCTGCACTCTTCCCACTGCAGCTGCTTCCTGGGCTTCCTGGAAGGCAGAATAATGCTCCCAGAGATTTTGTCAACTAGCTTGACAGCTGCATATCTGAATTGCCTCTGAAGCTCTGCCACTTACCAGTTGTGGGGCCTTAATAAAGCGATCACATCCAAGTCCAATTGCCTCACTTCATAATCAAGATAGTGACATTACCCACCTGATAGGACTAACCTAGAGCTTGGCACACAAGAAGCATTTCAGAAGTTTGGCTATTACTGTTGCCACTGCTATCGTCATTACTACTTAGAGTTACTTCCCCCTGATTCTAGCTTTCCCATGGTTTTGGCTTTCCATGGCCCAGGTGAGCATTCATTCTGACCCCTGCACAATACTTCTGGGTCTTACAACGTTGCCACTCAAGTTTACATTGGCCTTTGGCAGGGTTCCATCACTTATATCCTGGTATGGTGGCCGTGGTATAGAAACGAACTAATCTAAGCCCTCATCAGAAGGCTCTGCTGATGAAGGATATTCCTAAGAAAGTGTCCTTTGGTTGAGACAAATCCCTCAAAAACATACCAACTGGATTCTTTCTTGAATTTTCAAACATAAATTTCCAGTACTCCATTTGACTACTAGGACTCAAAGGTAATGTGAATGCTCTTGGGAAACACCTAATTCTGAAGGTCTTATATATCTTTTAATTTTAAAGTGCAATATTCTCAGTCATTAATGCTTGGTGCAAAAAAATATTTGTCGTCCCTAAGACTGCATTCTCTTCTCTCTTTAAAGCCACAAAGTTCAAATCAGTGAGCTGATGTCTGCTGGACATTTGCATATTATTATATGATGTGGTGTTATAAAAATGGTGTCAGACTCATCTGACAACACTTTTTCTTTTTCATGCAAAAAAAAAAAAGCCAAAATCAATAGCTTTTATCTTCACACTAGTTTCCACTATGTGATCAATTCCTGGCTACTCCTACATTTTCTGCTCATTGATCAGAATGGATGCTTTATTTGAATGTTCAACCTAGAGTTTAGGCATATTTCCCCTCCATTCCCTGTGTGGTGTAAATGACCTGCTCAGACATGCTGTGGCTGGAAGCGCCCACATGTTCCTTTGCTGCAGACATCTCATTCTAAAGCATTCCCTAGGTGTGTGATGGGTATCCATAAATGGGGGTCACTGAAAAGATGATCTCAAACCTTCTTCGAATGAAAAAATTATGTGACTTCTCCAGGGTCACGTTTCTTAACAGCCAAAAGTAGGACCTAGGTCACCCTTTCTCCTTTTTATCATTTCCCAACACATACCACTTATTCCAAAATATCTTTTGTGTCCACAGGGTTCCTTCAAGTAAAAGCAAACCTATGAAACGACAATAAAATAAAATAGCCAAAAAAAAAAATCAAACAAATAAGTACCAAATTAAAACAGAACAAAATAACTACAACACATAATTCTGAGACTCCCTAAATTAGTCTGAACTTAATTCAGAAGCAATCACAGAGAGGAAGAAATGATTGTACCTCTTTTCCCTCTTTCTTTCCTTTTCTTTTTTCTTCTGTTTTGCAAAAACTCTGTGTCCTGCCCCATGCTAAAATATACCGACAGTGAACCACCATCAAGCAATACCCCACACTTTTACTTCCTTCTTCTCTCGTCCCTCTGAGCTGGACAATGGAAAGGGGACACACATGAAGAAAATACATGCCATAAATATCTGAGCATGACTGGCAGATGGACCTAATCCGGTTATGGCCTTGTGATTAGCCTATAAATACAGCAGCTTTGCCTGTTGTAGCTGAGCTTCCCAATGACAGAAGCTCACAGCTCCACCCAGGGGAGGGGACAAGGCAGGCCACAGAATTTTAAAACCTTACATGTTTTTCAGAGGAAAAGCACTGGAGCTCCATGTGGGCGTGCCTGCATATGGCAGCACAATGTGTGGGAAAGATCCATGCTGGGGGGTAAAGAGCATTGCCTGCTTTGCTCTGCAGATGCCAGAAGCCAAAGTCAAGAAATCATTTAAAACCCTAGGCCTAGACTCAAAGGAGAACGGTGAGCAACAGTCGTCCCTTATCCCTTCCAACAATGAGAACCTTTCATGAAGCCTGAAGTAATTTTCCACCCAGATATTTTTTCAAGCTCTCCCCTGGCTCTGTACAGGAAGCAACGCCCTACAAGGGCCCTCGGTTCCCATGGGTCTTTAGGGTTTCACAGAACATCAGGAATTAACCTTAATTGGTTTCCTTCCTTTTATTTCTTTGGTTCTATGATGCCACTGGCACATTGCTTAGGATCATGGTGATCTTATGAAGCCTTGGTAGGAGCCCTTTCTGTGACCTTGAACACAAAGTCATATTCATAGAACAATTAACTTCCTAACCACTTGCCTAGTGCCCTCTGAGCTGCATAACTTGGCATTTAAGTAACTAGATGCTGGCACCAAACCACTAGAGTTTGAATTCTGACTCCACTATTTCCCTATCATGTAAATAAAAAAATTGTATCTCAGTTTCTTCATCTGAAAATCGGGTGCAATGGTAATACGAACCTCAAAGGAGGATTGTGTGCAAGTGATCACTACTGTCTTGTGGAAACTCAAAATACTCCAGGCCATGCTGACTTCCTTAGGAAACACTACATCTGAAATATCTCTTGCTGGGAACAGGCAACCGAGAACAAGCAGTCACACAGAATTTATGACTACAATGAAATGTTATCTTATGGTGTTTCATCAAACTATTTAAAAATGTATAAAAAAGATCAATTTATCCAAAAATTTAAAGAAGGTCTGTAGCTAAGGAAATGTTCTTCTGAATGCTCATATGATTTTTGCTATCACTCAACCTCCCAGGCCATCTCACCCATTCCCAACACTCCTAACAAACTGCAGCTGGATTTTGTCGTCTGAATTTAAAAACAGATCATTCCTCCTTATTGTCCTTGCAATCTATTAACTGCTACACTGGACAAATGTGTTTTCCATGTGTGCTGGTAAGAAGCATATAAGCAATGATTACATTTGTGCTGTTCTAATCTCTCTACAGTTTTTCACTTTTCTATATGCTGTGTCTCAGAAGTATCCAAAAGGTTTCTATGTGGGATGAAAGGCAAAATTTGCTTATCTTCAATCTCTGATACTTCAAAGTTGGTTTGAGAAAGCAAGAGTTTGACTGTGCCACCCAAGGTTGACAGCTCTTGGCAATGACATCTGAAAAGACCCATGCTTCATGAACTCTGCCTCTCATCTTTCCCTGAGGTTTCTTCAATGGATTCTGTATAACAGCAGCATAAATGGGTACATAAAAACATTCAGAAGTGTCCTATGAAGGGAAAAGACATAATTATGGAGTTAAAAGAAACTGATTTGAACAACTTTACTGTCAATGGCTAGCTGTGTGATCTTGAATAAGAGACTTAGCCTCTCAAAGCACAATGCTACTGTCTGTCAAATAGTTTGCAAGATTATCAGAAGAATTAGATAACAACTGCAAAGTACTGGCACATAGTAGATACTTGAAAAATTTAAGTGTTTACCACTATGAAACTTCAATTGAGTCCTTTAGCTTCTGTGTGGTTAGGTTCCACTCTATCACAGTAACAGAGCTAAAAGCAGGCAACTCTCAGGTCATAAAGAGTGCAAAGTAATAAAAATTGGTTAATTTCAACATATGAACAGATAGTAATGTATATAGCATATTAGAATTAAATATTCAGATATTTATAGTTCTCAAATATTTATGATTCAAAATATGCATAATTCTCATATACAGTAATATTCCTTTTCAGAAAGAGGGGTTTATTAACTAGATGGAGATGTCTTTTTAAAAAATCACCACTGACCTTTAAAGGATTAGTTATGTGGTTTTTCCATTTTTTTTCCCCTTGACTTGTTCTCTGTGTGATCCGTCTGGAAGCTAGTTGGAACTAGTTTTCTAAGAGCTGGTAAAATTTCCTGCATCAACATGGAAAACTTAATTAATCGTAATAGCTGTTTGGGACATTGTGCATACACTAAATTAGAGAGCTTATTTTCTTACCACAAGTCCAAAGATCCATGTTTTTATAGTAACCTGACATCTGGTACACTTGTCTCTATTCTCAATACAAACATTATCTAAATATCCTTAACCTGGCCAAGAAATATAGAAACGACAGTTGTAAACAGAGAAATGAATTGGCATTGTATTTAAATGCACAGAGACATACCAGCTGATAGATGGGACATAAGATCAAAATATTTCAGATGAACAAACATGTTTAAAATGATTACTAATGAATCCCAAGTATTTATTTAAAAACATAATTCTATATGCTTTCTTTAACCAATTTTATATGAAGAAAAGCATGAACTTCATTCTACAGGTGGAAGAAATTACTTGAATGAGAAATCTTATCCATAATCTTTTTAGCATGTTCCTGGGCTTCACAAAGAACAACAAATTTGACACATGTGGAATCGTCTAACTTTTGGTATAGATATTCAGCATGCTAAATGGAGGATTCATATCATTCTAACTCCAGAAATGCTTATTTGGAGGAAGATACAATTGAGGAGAAAATCATGTACTGAGCAGAAGGTAAACAGAGACAGGGCAGAGCAAGGAAGAGGAGAAGAGGCCTTAAAACGGGCAGATAAAGCAAAGTCTAGCATTATCACACTTATTCAGAATGGGTCAAAATCCTTAAATAGTTGGTATCTTTTAATCAGTATTTCCATAGTTTTAAGATTTACAATAAGAATTGTAAATTCTTGCTTCCACAATTTAGCAAGACCCTAAGCAACTCAGTGAGACCTTGTCTCTAAATAAAATATAAAAAAAAGGGATGGGGATGTAGTTCAATAATTAAGCACTCCTGGGGTCAGTCCCCAGTACCAAAAAAAAAAAAAAAAAAAAAAAGGCTATCTCTAAAAATCCACACAAAAAAATTTTAACATTTTTATCAAGGTGCCATCTGAATATCAAGTAATAGGGTATTAGTTAAATTATGTCACATCTTGAAAGTAGTACATCATCTACAAAAATTATGCCTCAGGAAGCTAGTTATTGACTTGAGAAAAATGGTTAAGTAAAGTGAGATACAGAGTAGCATGTACTATAAAATACCAAGTTTGTAACATTTGTATATAAATATGGATATGGTAGGAAAAATATGATTCTGCTCCTTATCCTGAGGTACACAATTTTTTTGGCTCAACTGGATGAAGATAATGAAGATGATGATGAGCCATTAAAAGATTTTCATTTCCATTTTCTATAAGTCCTGAAAACCACGAGCCTAAGTGTAAGAAATACTATATAATTTTTTTACAGATATCAAATGAATAATCCAGTGTTACCTTCTTAGCTCCCAGAGTAAATAGATGAGTTAACATTCATGAAGCATTAGCAAAAGGTGTGGGACGGGGGGTACATAAAAGAAAAGCCCAATACTCCTGACATCATCACCTCACCAAAATTAATTTGTGCCATAGGAAACATGTTAATTAACTATCATGAAATTTAGCTGAAAAATAAACAAGTTATTTAAATCTAGGACATCTGTGAGGAACACAAATAAAAAGGCAAGCAGAGTAAAGGAAATACCAAGAACGTGTGTGCCCAGCTCTTGCCAGAGAGATCTTTCACCTTTATGTACAAAACTCAAAGTTCCCACTGATCTTTGGTGCAATAAAAAATGTACTGTACATTGTGAGATGAATCACCATAAACATTGCAGACTGCCATTCTGTGCAAGCATGGAAGGCCACCTGTTCTTGTGCAAAGGACACATGCACTGGGGTTGGGGCCTGAAACTGAGAAGAGGAAGAACTAAATAAGGACACTGACCCAGACAAGTGTGGAGTCAGCTCCGGCCGCCTCAGACAGCATGGGCTTTCTATTGCTTAAGTTCCAGGTCTACTTGCTTAAAACTAGAGATCACAGCCAAAGAGGTGGAGGCTAAGGCAAAATGTTGTTCCTGGGTTTAATGACGATTATTCTTGGCCTTCCAAGTCACTAAGTCTTCTGAGAGAAAACTGTTAACGAGCAGGATTCTTTCTATTTTCACACTATTAAAGCTGGTGTGGTAAAAACTTCAGGCTTTTAAGACAGACTTGGATCCTAGTCCAGTTCAGCCATTTATTAGCTGTTTAAGTCTATGCAAGTCTCTTGTCTTTCTGAGCTCATTGTCTGATCCGTAAAATAGTGCTAATAATATCTACTTGATAAAAACTTAGTGGGGATTAAAAGAAATGTGAAGTGAAAAATATCTAGATTAAATGATTGACATACAATAGGAGTCTAATAGTTGTCAGAAGCTTTCTCCTTCCCCCCTTTTACCTCCTTCTGTAGGTATAGCTCTACTCATTGGTTGCTTTAAAATAGTGAGAAAGGGGAGGAGGAGGAGAAAAGAAAGAAAATTATTTTAGTGAGTTCAGACATTATACAAATCTTCCAATGAAATGACAGTTTCTTTCAGACTCCAGAGGTTTGCTGTTTATGTCTAGGTTCCCATTAATGGTGTGTGTGTGTGTGTGTGTGTGTGTGTGTGTGTGTGTGTGTACGTGTACCCTTTTACTAGAATTATGCTATTAGCTAATCATTTAACTGCAAGTTTCAGTACATGTTTCACATTTTTTGTGTGGATCTGTTTTTAGTTTATTAATAGTAACAAAAATTCCTAGGCATCTTTCTAGAGATCAAAAGAAAGTTAAGATCTGTCTTCAGAAGAACTTTATCACAAACACCTGATGAGATGTTCAATTTCATTCAGTTAATCTGCATAGAAACAAAAATGGTTAAGGGAGATTGACAGAAAGTATATATTTGCAGCAGGAACCTCTATCACAACAAATTTATTCATTTAGCACATATTGGTTAGGAAACTCAGGTCGCAGGATAGTTCTGTGTCCATGTGCCAAGACTGCACTGGGGACACCAGTCTTCCCCAAGGCACTAATTGTACGTGGTCTTTTAGGAAAGTTCTGCAAATGCACACAGTCATTTTCTATTTCCATTCCTGCTATTTTCCATTAACTGTCACCATTTGAGGCTCATTCAATATTCTATACCAGACCAGAAGCTTCCAGAATATAATGGATCATAGCATGTAATGATGAAGAACTAAGAGGAACAAGCAAAGGGTTAGTCACTTTTATAAGCAGCAAGGAATAGAGACCATGAAGCAATACACCAATACACCACTGAAGGCCAGTCCTAGGAAACTCACTTAAAAATACTCTCACCCAATCTGAGACAAGCATGATCACAAATCATGGCAAACACACTTCCATGTTGCCTGTCCCTAATCAAATGCTCACCCAATCAATGCACAGCTGCTCCCTGCACCTGAGTAAAGTTAAGATATTTCTACACAATAGTTGTCAGTTTTGAGAGGGAACTTCTTTATAGTTGTCAAAAAAAATTATAATTATGCCTGTTTTCCTGAAACTACAATATGTCAACATACTAGTCAGGTAAATCACAGTCATCTACACTTTCAAGAACAGAAAGTTTGCCTGGATTGTGTTTTCAATTCTTTCAGTAGTGAGAGTCTTGCCTACTGTTGCTTTAGGAACACATAGCTCCCCTGTCCTTCTTTACAAGCAGAATGTTGTAGAAAGAATTTTCCTTAAAACAACTGCTATGATTTGATAAGATGGAAAATAAGGCCTATATAATATTTATAATCTTAGAAATGGATCTTGTTTTTCCTTAAAAAATATTTTTAATGGAAAAGTTAGCAAAAAGACAAATCTTTTTTAAAAATTACTTCTAATCAGGGGGCTGAGGGTGTATCTTGGTGGTGGGGTACAGGCTTAGCAAGCATGAGGACCTGGGTTCATTCTGCAGCACCAAAATAAATAAATATATAAATACATAAAATTTAACTACTTCAGACATATTTGTAGATTCAGGTTAAATAATTCCTTCAGAGCGTCAGCTTTAAACCACTTTTCCTTGTCTGGGTTGTCCTGGAAGTTATATTCCCAGATGGTGTCCAAGTCCCTGCCTCTCCTCTCAGTGATCACAGTCAGTCCCCAGAGGTTGATTGCTGAGAATTAATTGAGCTCCAGAGTCTAGAACTGTTCAAGTCACCTGATGTCATTTGGGAAAGGAAAATTACAGTCTAGATCACCTTTCTCCTGACCAGAGTGAGTTTCAGAGTGTGTGAGATCTGAGAGCAGATTTTTATTCACTCAGCTAGTATTTATTCAGACCCCTCTATGTTCATCTGCCATTGTGCTACACGTTAGGGACATGTTAGGAAGTAAACCCTCTAGCCCTATAGAGCTTACATTTAGACGGATGGAAAATCTTAAAAAGTAAAGAAAATCCAAAAGCAGTTCCAAATCTTCTTTACTGTCATTGCAATAACCTGGGGGTTGAAATCATACACTACAAATACATGTATATTTGAAACTGTCACAAAAGATTTAAAATTCTTTTGTAAACTCAGAATATTGCATTTTCTAGTGCAAATTATATGTTCTCTGTAGACCAAACACTGAAAGATAACAGTGTCCAGATATACTCTAGCCTTAGTTATGGAATAGAAGGCATCCCTTAAAATGTTTATTTTAATTCATAGAAAACAAATTCCCTAGAACTTTGAAGGAAATTGTCCAAAAAGTAGATGATATCATTTTGGACATGGCCTTCCTCTAGTTATAAAAGCAGGAACGGTAAGCTAAAGGCCAGATAGTGTATTCATCAAATAGGGAGCTATTTAGGAGACAGTGGGAACTGCAATATCTACTGATATGAGAATGGGTGGGTAAATCATAATGTTCCCATTAGAGGGCCTATTATGTGGCTATTAGAGTGAATGAGTAAGCTCATATTTACTGACTCAGGAAGATAACCGTGATGTACACTTAAGTGAATTAAAAAAAAAAAAAAAACAAGGCTAAAGAGCTATATTATCCTGTATATAGGATAATGTTATTTTGTCTTTAAAAAATTTTTTAAAAAAGAATATGTTAGACCTCTCCGTATGTTTGAATATGTCTGTATGAACATGGAAATAGGTATGGAGAACTACTTATTACCTAACAATAATGATTACTTCAGATATTTGAAAGGGAGCAGAAGTGGAGAGATGATTATTTTATATACAGTATCTTTTTATGATAAACAGGTATTTTTAAGTAGTAAAAATAAAGCAAAAAGTTATAAGATGGATGGGGCTAAAAACACACCACTGAAAGCACTTTATTGTTACATTAATTGGCATTTATTCAGAGTATCTATTGTGTACAAGAATGAGGATACAAATATCAGACTTGCTACCTGACAAAGGATTAATAATTTGACAGGGAAATAAGACTATTCACATGAAAATATAACAATTTTCAGGCAGAGAATAGAGCTGACTAATTTTTATTTATTCATTTTTTGAAATCAGTAGAATGGAAGCCGTGTAGAGCATAGCTCAGACCTGGCTATCCTGCCCAACTTGGCTACCCACTCACAGGTGCAAACTTAAACTAGTAACACAACCTCTCAGTTCAGACAGAAAACCTCTGCATGTCAGGAAATGAACTTTGCCTCAACTAGCATGATGAGATCCCCCCTACCTTGGGATCTTAGGGAATCCCAAGGTTGGGAATTTGGGGCCTCTTCTCCAGGATTTATTCTTTGAAATTGAGTCCTTAGTGCCACAGTCATTTGGAGACTTCTGGGAACCAAATTAACCCCAACAGTCAGTTCAGAATTCTTGGCTAGGCAGGAGCCCTTTTTTATTCAATGGTCAAAATGCAAAAGCAGGCAACTCTTGCTCAGAGGGCTAAGCTGCAAACCATCTGTCTCTAGTCTCTGGTGAGTGCTATTGGGAAGCAACTGAACAAAAGTTACCATCCAAAAATTCCAAGTCTAAGTTTCTCTTGGTCTGGGCTTACAGCCAGAGGCAATTTTCCAGAGGTGCCACGCCAGTGCCATCTGACTGCCTTCATGGACTGTATGCCGGGGGAGGAAATAGGGTGGGTAGAACAGAACTCAAGGGATTGCATGTTAATTTTTAAATGTGCAGGATGAGCAGGGAAGACGGGAGAAGAATGCAATGATAGGCTCTTGAAGCAATGTGTGTTACTGAGAGCATCAGCAAGAAATAGTTAGCTGGCTCTCAGCCAGGGAGTTCCCCATCCAGCTGCTGGATGTGTGTCCCAGGTCTAAAGAGCAGCCACAGCTGCTATGCTGATCAGTCCAAATCTCCATTCTAATGGGTTACAGACTGTGGTTCATAGGCCTCGTGTTGTAAAACAAATTTAGGGAAAAATAAAATGACAGCCAGTCCCTCTATTTTCCCTTATATATTTTTTAAAATGTCACCATCAAAACCTCCCAAAATGGTTTTGATGCTTAAATCATCTTTTGGGCCTGTGTCTTGTTATTTTCCTTTCATGCTCATCAATTGTCATATTGCTAGATGTTATACAAGAAAAAGAACAAAGACACTGTTTCTTAGGAATTGCCTAAACTCCTGTCTAAATGTGAGAGAAGATGGAAAATAAGGCATATCTAATGCAAGGGCTAAATCAGTGCACTTCAGGGATCGGGGTATAGCTCTACAGAACTGTGTGGGAGTACTAAAATGAACCGCCAATCAAAATCTCAAAATCTTAAGATTGCTTAGCTGTCAGAGGGAACGAAGTCTGGAGATCACTTAGTTGAGTACAAAGGGAATACCTTGTGGGTCTAGGAAACGTTTAGAGGTGGGAATGTGAGCAAGAAGCCCACATTTTTTTTTTTCTGCTCCCACCACCTCCATCACACTAGTTTTTTTTTTCTTCTAAAATTTGTTAATTATCATCAAACTTTCATGCTCCAAATTGGGCAACCTTAAAATGCATCTGAACTCATACACCGAGAAATCTGTTCAGTAGGAAAATGGCTTTACATAAAAATGTTTTTTTTAAAAAAATCACAACTTTATAATCTAATTAGGCCACTGGTGTTCTCTTAAGCTCATTTGTGTTTTCCATTAAAATTGTACTCGAGGAGGAAGTATCCTATGGGAAGAGCACACACCTGAGAATCTAGACTTGTAGCCCAGTTACCATTTGAAACTCAGAAATTCTGCAACCTTGGTAAGTCTTGGCCTTTACTTTTCTCACTGGGATAAAATAATGGGAATAATTCAATTCCAAATTCCCTTTTCACTTCAGAAGTCTCTGTTGGCCAAAGAGCATTAGATGAAGACCAATGTTTTAATGAGGTTGGCTTCACTGGGTCAGCTCATATTTAATTGAGCATCTACTATTGATCTCCTGGTTTAAAATAATTAAATGTAATTGGGAAAAGTACTTCGTTTGTTGTTGTTGTTGTTGTTGTTGTTGTTGTTGTTTTGGAAGTACCAAGGGGAACCACCAGGGAAATGCACCGGGGGAATCCTGGTTGTTTCATCAACCTGCTGCGACTATGTTTTTACTAAATCCACACACGAAATCTCCCAGGTATCTCAGTGCAGTAATAATGTTAATATTACAAAGACATTCTCACTGTACCAGACTCAGCTATCATGTATGTGATTGTGGCAGGACATTGAACTTCTCCAACTCTTAATATTCATATCTGTGTAGCGGTGATTATGAAGTCAACCTTGAGTAGTTAGAGTGAAGAGGATTATGAAGTCAACCTTGAGTAGTTAGAGTGAAGAGGAAGATCCTACGCTTTCTATACAGCAGCTGAGCAGGCTGTGAAGGAGTATGTGATGCTTTGGGCTCAAACAGACCAGGTTCAAGGGCTAGCTTCATGGTTTCTTAAAAATGTTACTGTTTGAAAGTTACTTAATTTGTCTAAGCCTCAGTTTCTTCATATTTCCAAGCTTGAAATTAGATTAATAACATTTACTACACACAATTATTGTATGTGAAGAGTTTAGCATAATTCATGGCACTTGGTACAAACTCAGTGGGAACAATCACTGTGCATGTTTACATTAGGTCAAAAATTGCTGCAATTACTATTGTATTGCAAAGACAGGGGTCTTGTCAGAAATAGGACAAATGGTAATGTGAGAAAAATTCTACCTAGAGGATAAACTATTACATAGATGTAACAATTTCCCAAGGCTGAATTTACATAATAATATCAGTTGCAATGAAAATAAAGGTCAACATTGCTTTGATTTGTAAATTATTCTGTTTATTACAAGGACTTCTATCTATTCTATTATTTGTGCAGTTATTTCAGTATTTGAAATGAAGGTAAAAATATTGTACTTTCTTGGCATGATTGGGATTGAATCAGCTGAAAGCACATTTACTTTAGAGCATTAGGTTCTTTGCTCATGAACAACACTGGTTCTACTTATTAGGATATTGGTGAGTATAATACTCCAAATTAATGGACATCTGGGGAAACAGGTGTAGAGGTGGGACAGAAACCAGGACAGTGACTCCTGGCAGGGACAGTTTCTTCCTTCCTTATGTCGGGATTGAATAGGGAGAATCCAGTTGGCCAGATTTGGATCTTAGAAAGCCTTCCATTCGGATCCTTGCCACAGGAAGAATCTGGCCAGAGGCTACTCCTGGCATCTCTTTGCCTTCATTGAGGAAGAACAGATTGTGTGGAGTATTTGAACTACTGAAACTACCCACCATGGAGGAGGAGCAATTCCTCCAAAGGAAACACAAGGTGCTGACTGGATTTGAGGATGGGCACTAGGCCATCAATATCAACAAGATTCCCCGACAGCATTGGAGACTGGTTTCTACATCTGATACTGGTACTTGCCATGTAAATTACTCTACTCCTCCAAGTCTAATGTAACATGAGGGTGATAATAAACCCAACTCCACAGTATTGCTATGAGATATGATACCGTGATGCTTGTAGAATGCCTAGCATAATACGTGTCTCATATCTACAGTATAATTTCTATAAATTATACTGTCTTTTATAATTTTTATTGTGCCTATGTTAGATTTTGCTATATTAGTCCCAAGCACAGTTACTTATTATGTGTTTCTTGCCCAATGCAAATTAGTATTGTTATCAAAATATGTGCTTCCCAAGAAAAGAGTTCGTGTCTTACTTTAAATGGTGCCCATTTGTTTTTTGATGATGACACTGATAATGACAATAATAACAGGGAGCCATTGCCTTAGTAATTAGCTTTAAATACTGTTTGAGACTTTAAAAATATCTCTGCAATATGGCATTTATAAACATGGTAGATACTCATAGTTATGCCTGAGATATAGGCTTCCATTTTCTTTCTCGTGATCATGATGAGGGACCCTGATGACACATAGACCATACTGTCCATACAAGGCTCCTGATGACAGAATGGTTGGCAGAGACTGACTTTCCTAAATACTTCGATGATTCACTTGTTCCATTTTTAAACATCAGCAGATTGGCATTGGTGACATCTGCTAATTTTTTGGCTTTACTTGTGGATGGCATGAGACTTCCATCTGCAGTAATAAGTAAGATACGATCAATGTGAAGTTAATACTCCCAGTCCATGACCAATTTGTAGTAATGAGTCAGTGGCCTTGTCTATTTTTCTGTTTTCCCTGGAGGGATCATTATTTTTCATGCTTTGGAAACATAGTGGCCCAGAAGTTTAGTATAAACTTGGTGACATTCATCTAGCTTCATCTAAGTGGAAGTTGCATTTTCTTCCTAATAATAAATTATCAACTCTCAGATACTTTTGACTCACCAATTGCATATTTAAGACCTTTTATATCTTTCCTCAGATCTCCTCCCAAACCTCATTTCTATGTGGAAACAATCTGCACAGAGCTGAAGACTATGTTTATATTGTTCGTGCTTTATTTCTTCCTGGTTCAAGATTTTAAGAAGTCCTCTCAAATGACTCCTTTGTTGTTGTTGTTTTTTAAATCATCACCCATGTGAATATCACAGCTTCATTAAGAAACATATTAGTTATGCTTTCTGGTTAAATTCAGAGTGAATTAAATCATATCCAACAAACTCACAGTTTTTCTTGTTTGGGGAATGCTCCATTAAAATTAGAAAGGCAGTTTCCTCCAACTGTGATAGTGGCTTCATTTGCTAATTCTTTTTTTTATTGTTGGTTGTTCAAAACATTACCTAGTTCTTGATATATCATATTTCACACTTTGATTCAAGTGGGTTATGAACTCCCATTTTTACCCCGTATACAGATTGCAGAATCACATCAGTTACACTTCCATTGATTTACATATTGACATACTCATGTCTGTTGTATTCTGCTGCCTTTCCTATCCTCTACTATCCCCCCTCTGCTAATTCTTTATTCAACACTTAAGGTCAAAATCAGTTCATGGATTTTCACCATTTGGTGGTTGATCAAAGCAAATGCAGGAGAATGCTTCCTTCCCCCTGGTGTTCAGTGTCTGCAACTGCATCAGGTAACTACAAAGACCTAGACATCAGGATTTGTGTCTATTGCTAATGACACGTGGAAAAAAAATCTCAACCTTTGAGGGCTTTACATATCAGGTAGGTATAAGTATCAGGTAAATAAATTTACAGGAACACTCAAGCCAGTAATGGTCAGTCCTGCTGGGGAGAAAGGAAGAGTCGACTCTGGTTCTTATTGCCCCATTTGGGATCCAGATGGGGTGCTACCTGGGCCATTTCTCAGTCACTTAATTATGCTAGAGTGCTTCCTGCTTCAGCACATGCAGAGTTGTTTCTTTTCTTAAAAAATCTCCCTGACTGCCTTCACTCACTCAATCCTATCCTTCCTATAGAATATAGCTGAAAGGCTCCTTGCAAAGGATCTTTGAATCAGAACTCCATTAACTCTTCTGACACCACAGGGTTCCCCTCCTGCAAGGCACTGATTACAACTGTAACTGAATAATTAAACTGTTGTTTAATAAATGTGTGATCTGCTGAAATGTAAACCCCTCAAGGGTCTTATTCTGTCTGTACTGATCAGTTTTGATACATAGTAAGAGTACAGTGCATATTTTCAAAATGAATGAATTAATTCTGAATTGAAAACTCAACCTGCTTAGATTTGACAACCCTTCTATTAGGTTTTGCAGATAAACCAGAGCCAGGTTTATCACAGAGTACAATGTCAAAAATAACCAGGAAAAGGAGAGAAGAGAAGGTAGGGAAGAAATGGACAGAAGTAGGTCAACCTTCTCTTCATTCTGTTTTACCGAGGAGTGGTTGCATGCTAATGTAATTAAATGCCAAAATAAGACTTCAGAAACTTTTCTCTTTATGCAAAAGCTTCTCTTACTGTAAAAAGAACAATGATTCTTTTCAAAGCCCATTGGATTTTTAACCTTTGCCTGCAATACTGACCCACCTTCCCAGACTCAGAATGTTTTGGGTGTCCTAGTTGCATGTGGAAGAGAAGCTTAAGTACTAAGTCAGTGCCCAATTTTATATGACTCTCCCAACTGCTTCTAATGACTGGGCCTAAGGTCCTCTGTGGTTATGTTCTCTACAAGCCTTGTGCTATGATTTAATTGTGATTTTTCTTTTTACAGATGGAGGTAATAAGCACAGACAAATATGCAGCTGCTGCCCATTGTCAACCAGAGCAGGCTGTTCCAGAGCAATGATGGAGGGAAATTCCCAGAGTGCCAAGAGACAATTCCAAGGCCTGCAACTGATCACAGATTCAGGGTTTCCTCCCATTGGCTTAAAGTATAAGAAACACAACATGTAGCCTGACTTCCTTTGTAATAGTTAGTAGGGGAAAGTCCAGATGTTTGATTTTTTTAATTTTATTTTATTAAATGTATTTTTTTTTATTGCACTGGGGATTGAATGAACCTAGGGGGTTTTACCATTGAGCTACATCCCCAGTCCTTTTTATTTATTTATTGTTTTATTTTGAGATATGGCATCACTAAGTTGCTTAGTGCCTCACTAAGTGGCTGAGGCTGGTCTTGAATTTGCAATCTTCCTGCCTCAGCCTCTCCAGTCACTGAGATTACAGGCATGTACCACCATATCCAACTTAAAGGTATCCTTTGTCCCTGCTCCTCTGAGTTGAATGCTAACTTTAGAGTAGCTTAAAAGACAACTGAAAGTACATTCTTTTTATGAGCCAACCCTGGGTTGGGGTGCAGACCACGCAGGGTAGTTCTGAAAGGACATGGGTGAATAAGGGGAAGGGAAGACACACAATTTTTTGTGGTCAGTATTATTATCCCACCTATCTGAAATGTAGCACAGGAGAGGAAAGACTAAAGAGCAAAAGCTACATGTGGATTCCAATGCATCAACAGTGCATTGGTTTCTTATTCATTTCATTTCAACGAGTATTTATTGAAAAATGACAATATACTAATCTTTGTGGATACATCAAAGAAAAAAATGAAGCCCCTGTCTTCTAGTCCTTACATTTCAGGGCCATTGGAGTAGGGGGGGGGCAGATAAAGAATGGGAGGAAGACAATAATGCAATTAAATAAGCAACATAATTTCAAACACAAGTAAGTTCTATGGTAATAATAAACCAAGGAAACAAGAGAGAGGGTGACTGGAAGTGATATCTTAATTTTGGGTCTGAGCTGACCTACACAGTAGTCACTAGCCACATGTAGTTCTTGAGTGTTTAAAATGTAACTAGTCTAAAATAAATTGAGATGTACTCTAAGAGATGGTCTTGATTTCAAAGACCTACTATAAGAGAAAGGGGTAAAATATCTCATTAATAATTTTATACTAATTCTTGAAATGATAATGTTTTAGATGGATTAAGCAGAAGTATTCTTAAAACTATTTTACCTCTATATTCATATTTTTAGTGAGGCTACTAGAAAATTTAAAATTACACATATGGTTCACCATTTGCATCTGTTTGTATATATATTGGACAACAGTGTAGTCAGGGTCGGCCTCCCAAGGAGATGAGACACTTCAGAGGGATTGGCCATGTCTGGGAGCCAAGTTGTATAGGAAAGGAGAACAACAGTTTCAAAGAACCTGAGGTGGAAACCATGTTGGTGACCTAGAAAGCAGGACAGACAACCAGTGTGCCTGGAAAGAAGACTAAGAGAGAGTGGCAGGAGATGAGGTCAGCCCCAGGATGAAGCTCCCTTTGCTCATGTAGGACTTTGTGGACCAGAATAAGAAGTTAGGATTTTATAGAAATACAAATTTTCCATAAGAGATTGCAGCAGATTTGCTTCTGTGCAATTTCCCAGGAACAGTTCCAGAATATCAATATTCAGCATGAAACCTTGACTAAAAAATGCAAGAAAACCCACTCAGCTTAGAATATCTCCATGCTAATGAAGGTTTGCACTGGAATATGCATTTATTAAGCTCATTTATTTTCATATACAGTAACAGTGTGATGTTTATATGTGGGTGCCTGTGTGCTTTTTTTATTAAAAAAAAAAAAGGAAGAACTTAAGTGGACAGAGAATGTACTCAAATAAATGCTTCAGTCTCATTTCCCTTTACTTTATTCATCTCAAGCTCACATTTTGAGTGTGTATATAATCAGGGAAGGTAAGCAAACCCAAGTGCACACAGAAAGTATGGGGTGCAGGTTGGGAGAGAAATATTGAAGCTTTCCCTTCCAGTCACCCAAGTGTGTTTACTGTGTTTTGATTTCCTCCTGGGCTACACCCAGGAAGAGGAAAATAAATTTACTGCAAATGTCCCCCACCCCCAATGGAGTGGTTCTAAATGAAGAAGGTATCACTTAATGACCAAATATTTCCAATACATTTTACTTTGTGTAATGAATTTGTTGTCATCAAAGCAAGATTTTTAACTTCACAAGAAAAGTGAAAAACTTGTTCTGAAATGTCAAAAAGAAGCTGACATCCATATTTTTAGGCAGCTCTCCGACGTACAAAAAAATAAAAAATAAAAAGCCACACATGTCCTCACTGGGGATATATGACAATAAATTAAAAGGGAATGTGCCTAGGTGTTCAAGATTATCCAAGGAGACCACCAAGATTGATACCTGTTAAAATGTGTCAACCCTATCAGTTACCAGGCCATGAACCAGGACCAAGCACTTGCTGACCTGGGTTACTGGAAACCAGTGTGTGTGTGAGACAGTTGTGTTACAGGGTAATGGGGGACCGGGTGAGTCACCTAGGTGTAGTCCTCTTATTCCCAGTTTCTTAATCTCTGACATTCTGGATGGATGGGGTCAGAGTTCTCTTTATCTCAGTGTTATAATTATTAAGATTCTATGTTCTTAAGGCATTTGTAGACGTAGAACTTAGATTTAGCCTTATTGGTGGCCCAACAAGAAGTGAAACTTCTGAATGGTGGTGGGTTAAATGGATTTTTAAGTATATCCACAACTTCCTTTCTCAAAAGGAAGTTCACCAACATTAGTATTTAAATCATGAATTGAGTTTCCCAAAAAAGAAATTGCCTGTTTATTACATTATACATTCTCCATTATCATTATTGATATAAATTCCATTAATCATACTTACGAAAAAGCCTCTATTTAAACAAAAGACAAAAGATCTGTGAGTGTCTATGTTAGTGCCTGGCACAGAGCAGATACCTAAAAAAAAAAAAAAAAAAAAAAAATTTGTTGAATGTTAGAATGTACAAACGTTGACTAAGGTTTTGGGTAACCTTGTTGTGAGATTAGTGAACACCACAAAAAGAAAAGCCCCAATTCTATTTTTGCTTAATCAATTCCTAGTGAGTTTCCTGGGTCAGCAATGTATATAGAACAAGTGAAAATTTTAAATTGATGATTTCAGTATCCCAATAGTGGCCTCTCTGACAGGGTGCCCTGGAACCCTTGTTGTAGGTTCAAGTGGCCATGGGCCTTGCTATACCTCTAGGACCCCATCTCTCCACAGCCCAACTATGGAGGCTGAAAACAGGAGCTCTCTGGAGCTCTGAAAGC